TCTCAATTTTATATAATTATCTAAAGATAAAAAACAAAACATAGAAATGAAAAAGATTGACAAAAAAATTAAAAAGGACAAGAGTACGTAGCTCTTCAAATACTCCGTAGTATTTACTATGGAGTTTTGGCCTTTTCAAAAAAAATTCCCTTTTTTTAAAAAAAATTAATTTAGTTGAGTTAATTTTTTAATTCTAAATTAATTGAAACTTTTTTAAAACTCAAAGTAAAAAATTGTACAAATAGTTAGGAGTACTAAACTAACTCGATTAATCTCTGAAACAACTTGAAACCATTTCTCTACTCTTTCGTCCCTTTTTTTAGAAAAAAAAAAAGAATTATTTCATTTTTACGTTTTATTTGTTAAAGTAGACGGGGGAAGGATTGTGCTCGGTTGGATTAGGCCTTCTATGTTCCAACAAAGTGGCCCGATGACAAGAGATCATTTTCTTGATGAACCAATAATATGGCCCAAAGGGCTTTTTTTACAGTTAGCCCAATATATGGTCTATAAATCTGCACCCTGCACCAGAACCGTCCGATTAAGGTCTCTTGTAAGTTCTATATCACAGCCGCCTGATGGGATGACCACTCAATCCATTTCCCCTCGGCAAAAGTGCATTGGAAAGTACGAGATGCTACCCAAACAAACCCAGATCAAGGTATGTCTAACGCGCGGTAGGATTGTGTTACGGTTTAACCGAGTCATTCCTTATTTTTAACAAAGAAAAAAAAAACACCCCTTCAGGATAATTTTTATTATTGGAGATATTATATACATAATTTTAGCTACACAACTTTACTTAAAACTTGATTTGATATTAAATTAATACATTATTAAATTTTATATTAAAAAAATTCAATTATTTATGCCACATTGAGTTGTAAATAAATTTATATAGTGAAGATTTATGCGCCTAGCTTTTCCTATTTCATGGAGCCTTGGAAACCTCCTAATATTAAATCTGAGATTTTGTTTTCATAAAATCTAAAATTTATTCACATAATTAAAATCAATCAAATTAATACCTCCATTTTATAAATACATTAAACTTTATTTTGCGAGATTGTGATTTTTTATATTTATTCTTGGTTTTTATAAATTTTAAAATTATTGAAAATTAAAATTAAAAATCAAAAATAAAAAATTTGTTTAAAACAAGTTTCAACACTAATAACATCAAAAATAGAAAAAAAAAAGAGTAAAACTATAAATTGGTTTAATAATATTAAAATTATTTTTGTTTCTTCTTTATTAATTGTGATAATATTTTGACAAATAAACATGAACTAAATGAGATTTATTTTTAATTTATAAAAAACAACTAAGAAAAAAAAAGCTACAATTATACTAAACAAGATCTTAATATCCCCACCAATAGCATATGGCATTTGAGCCCACTTTCTTTTCTCAAGATCCGTGTGATTCACTTGAAAATAGTGGCTGTTAGACCTGGCAAACGGGCGGGTTAGGGTCGGGTTAGGGTCGGGTCAACTCGGGTGACGGGTTAGACGGGTTGGGTTATAAACGGGTTGCGGGTTGGAAACATCTAACCCTAACCCGACCCTAACGGGTTACGGGTTAACCCGCGGGTTAACCTTA